TTTGTTTTGATGTAGATGGCAAGGAAAGCAAAATTTTGATTGTACAAGGGGTGAAAATATAGCTCAAATATTTCAGCCTGAGAAAATTTCATCCATTTTAATTGAAACAAAGACAGCCTTAATGTAAATCTTTTTATAGGTTATTTATGATGTTGATATTTGTCTGTTGTCTCTTCTTGAACATTGTCTATTGCTGGTTCTATGATTCTGTCTCAGCCTAATCTGGCTTATATGGTTTTCTGCAGACCATCAAAAAGCCAGGGGACATRGTTGCACACAAGAATTCTCTTGAGCAAGATGGCCTTTCGAGAATAGTTTGTCCTGTTCTTTTAGATGGCATTGATGATTGTCCACATGGCCACTGGAGGCGTGTTGTGCTGGAAGAAATATCACAGTCATTGGGTGTGAGTGAAGGTGGTATACATAGATGCATCCGTGAAGCAATCATGCACAGTCAATTCCGTTATGGTAACATGCCTAAGGTGCAAAATGCCACTGAGCAAACTGCATGGAACCAGGTAGTTTTGGTATGACTCACAGGCAATTCCTTGCCTTCTTTTCCCACGAGTTATTAAGATAATTTCTTGGTTCAATACCCATTAACAGGAATCTGCCAAGCGTCATGGAGATAGTCAGAAATTACACTCACAGTTAAACAGTACAACTAAAATACCTGATAGAAAGCAGAATTTTGCCAAGGGGCATGTGGATGCTTCTCCAGTTGGATCCCAAAATGAGACAAGTGATCGAATCCATGTTCATCACAACACTGAGTTGTGTCAGCAGGTTTTTCATAAAGTTATAATTTCAGAGAAGTTTGCATTGCTGTGTAAGTTACTCTGCGAAAATTTCCAAGGTGTCAAGGTTGACAGCTTTTTTGACTTTAGTATCATCAACTCAAGAATGAAAGAGGGGGCTTATGAACAGTCTCCAGTACTTTTTTGTGCGGACATTCAACAGGTAGTGTTCCAATCCTCTTATATGCTCGTACATGCTTTCCTCTCTTCATGCTCTTGCAACCATTGAAGATGCCATGTTTGATCACTGTTGACATCTCAAGATATGAACTTTGGATTTATCTGCCAGTTAGTTTGATATTGAATCTATATGCTCCTACAGTGGTTCACAGTGATTTAAAAGGCGTGCCTGAGGCGCACCTAGGCGCACAGGYGAGGTGCATTTTAGGGTAGGCACCTCGCCCTAGTCCTAGGTGCAGCACTTTCAAATTTGGTAATGTTGTTCATTCATTCATCCTACTAAAATATCTTCTTAAAAAGCAATTAAAATTATAAAATCATTATTTTGTGTGAGAACTAAGAATTTAGGACCATA